TGTGTAAATGTGTAAATGTGTTAATGTGTTAATGTGTAAATGTGTAAATGTGTAAAAAAAATTTTTCGGTGGACAACGTTAATGACATTGGCTGTATATACTCATAATATTAAGGAAGGAGGAAAATCGGCTGGCGATTTTTTTCGGCGGTTTTTGCTCCAGTTTTCAATTTTTYCCCCGTTAATCTTGCTGTACTGAATAAAGCTTTCAAGCTTTACCATCCTTTACTAAGATCAAAATCGCCGGAAAATCAAAGGAAACAAATCGCCGAATAAAAGCGCTAGTGTAAACGGGGTAGATTGAAAAGTTTTGAAAAGAATCCCCAATGGTGTTGCCATGACGATAGTAGTGCATGCGTCTCAGTTATTTAACTTTACGAGTTTGTTTCCATAGTTGGCACAAGTCATTTAATAATACCTTAATGTTTGTTAGGATTTAATGGCGGGGCTGCACAAATTAAGTTGGAGCTTCGTAAACAGCGATTTTTTACTGTGGTTTCAATTACTCTTTACGCATGGAGCTACTAGAACTAGACGTCCAAGTGAGTGGGCTGAAATGAAAATATAGTCTTTAACCCGATGTTGGAGTGGAGTTTTTTGTCTATTTGTTCCTTTTTCTCTTCCATTTTTTGTTTCTTTCTTCTATTTTTTCTTTTATTTATTTATTTATTTATTTATTCAATTCTTAATTCTTCATCTCGTACCGTGTCAATACGTTAAGATTAAATGAATAAAAAGCCATTTCAATGTTACGGAATGTCATACCTAGTACGTAAAGTTAGTACCGTATGTTTCTCACTCATGCGATAACTGTTCGTATTGTAAGCCATTTCAATGTTACAGCATGTCGTACCGTGTACGTGCTGTAGGTCAGTACCGTATCTTTCCCACTCATACGATAACCATTCTTATGGGAAGCCATTTCAATGTCACGGCATATCGTACCGTGTACGTGCTGTAAGTCAGTACCGTATGTTTCTCACTCATGCCCCAAGTAAACAACAACAATTAAGTAAACAACACGTACAAGTTTCGTCTTTAACTCAGTTTATTACCACAACGAAAAGGCGAGAACTACGATAAGTAATCAATAGAAATATTGGAGTAATTATAAATCTACAACGTTGTCTTTCAAATGACTATAAGTACTTCTGTAGTCTTACACTAAATACACTGCAACTAGGATTGACTTAGACTGGTGTTTGACCATCCTAAATTACCTATTTACGAACATAGCGACTTCGGCTGTCTGACAACATACGATATAACTTATACGACATTACTATTGAAGTAATTTTATATTTKAAACAACAACTAAACAATCTTGAAAACGRTTGYTTAAGGCAAACCTGAGATCAATTGTTTTTCTTACATTCTCTAGTTTTGCGTAAAGGAAATAGACTTCTAATGTTTAAGTAATATATAATAACAATGTTTTACGTACCAGTTCTATGATTTCTAGTCTTTTAACTGACTTAATTAACACAACTTTTCTTGACTCTCTTTGCATGAACTTAACGTCGAACACAACTGAACTGATGAACGAAAAACTAACGTCAAAAACTTCATCAAACTTTATTTTTGTATCTTCAAATTTCTAACGATGAGTGCGCGCGCTAAAAACTTAATGAAAACAAACAGAAAATATTCAACTTGCCACAGTCAGTACCGTATGTTTCCAACTCATACGATAATCATTCTTATAGGAAGCCCTTTCAATGTTACGGCATGTCGTACCGTGTACGTGATGTAAGTCAGTACCGTATGTTCCCACTCATACGATAACCATTCTTATAGAAAGCCATTTCAATGTTGCGGCATGTCGTACCGTGTACGCGCTGTAAGTCAGTACCATATGTTTCCCACTCATACGATAACCATTCTTATAGGAGGCCATTTCACTGTTACGG